TGGTTCCGACGAGGAGGGTTCCCCCCCGCCCCCGGGTTCGAGCCCGGGGGGGGGGTTAGTCCCCCCTCCCCGGGTTTTGGGGGCATGGGTGGGCATGTTTTCCAAGCAAGCGCCCGCGGAACGCGCTCTCTCACTAATCACTCGATGTCCTCTGGCGCGCGTGCATGTGGCTGTGCAGCGGGCAGCCCATGCACGAATCCTTTCATCTCGCCACCGCGATTTTCGCCCTCAAGAACATTTAAGCAGACGACCATTGGGAGACCGTGAACCGCGCTGCCGGCGACACTCGGCCGCTCGGCTTGAGGCTGACGTCGAACAGGATTGTTCGCAGTGCCATCCACCACAAGCTTCGAAAAGTGTTCGCCCGGGTGGCCCCGCCGAACCAGGCTGGGTGCGTGAAGGGCCGCCCCTTCTCGCGCAATGTCGTAGTTCTCGGCCCGCACGCAAGTTGCGCGTGGCACTTGCCGCGAGCCGGGTCCCCCCATGCCCCTCGCCTGCCCAGGTCTTCCCCTCGGTGGGATGGGCGTGGCTCTCCATCACGCTGGAGGTGCTCGACCTGCCCGTCGGCCCTGCGGACGCCATGCGCGTGCGCTGCGCCACGAAGCGGCATCGGTCGCCTCGAGGGGCCACGCCACGATGCTCGACTTCCAGGTCCGCGGCGGTGTCTTGCAGGGCTGCCCGCTCAGCGGGGACCTGCCTGCGCGCCTTGAGCGCCCCGTCCACGCGGGACGCGCGGTTCGGCCTCGACGCAGCCCGCGGCATGAGGAGGAGGAGGAGGAGGAGGAGGAGGAGGAGGGGGAGGGGGAGGGGGAGGGGGAGGGGGAGGGGGAGGGGGAGGAGGAGGAGGAGGAGGAGGAGGAGGAGGGGAGGAGGAGGAGGAGGAGGAGGAGGCGGAGGAGGAGGAGGAGGAGGAGGAGGAGGAGAGGCTGCCGACCCTGGGGGGTCCTCCTCCGATGTGTGCAGCGGCGACGTCCACGGCCAGGCCTCCACGGGAGCTCCACCGGCTTCCAGGCCCTGGACGCCTGATCCGATGGTTCCCTGTCCGCTGCCCGCACCGTAATTACCGGGCGGCCGAGAACGCTCGCGAGGGGCGCCAGAGGCAGGTTCGTCCAGGGCCGGCTGCACCACGAGCGCGGCCGCCCCGGGCTGTCTCGCGCGGCGCAGCGCGCCCCCTCTCCGCTGGGCAGCCCGGGAGACAGAGGTCGGCATCTTCGCGCGATTCCTAAGATTCTATACGGTCGGGAACTCTTGGATAGCGTGTCGTTCCGCGGGTTCTGGCCGACCACGCTTCGGCGCGACACGTTGTCCACGTCCTAGTCCCCAGGCGTCGACGTCACGAGCCTTGTCACGAGCCCTTGTCACATCGATGCCAGCGGGCACCCATCTTGAAGGCGCCGGGGGGCGGGGGGGCCAGGCCACGCAGCGCCCTGGCGCCATGGGCGGGCGCGCCTTGCGCGCGACAGTTACGCCAAGTTTCGTGGCCCCCAGCGCATGCTGCACCACACGGCCGCGGAATATCCCCTGAGATCCGACGCTCCCAAACAATTGGAGCAGGCGGTTTTTCGCCGTTTTAGGCCTCTGGGGGACCTCGCCAGGCTTCGGGAGCGTCAAAGAACGACCCAGGACGAGAAAGCGGCCCTAGAGAAGTGGTCTGGACCTCCCAGGCCCACGCATCGAAAAAATTGGAGCAGCTGGATGTCCAGGCCTGCCGATCGCGAAGTTCGGGGGAGGGGGACGAGGAGCTCGCCCTCCTGGAGGGGCCTCCCTGTGGCGCACGTTGGCGGAGGAGGAGACTGAGTGGCAGGAGGAGGAGGAGGAGGAGGAGGAAGAGGAGGAGGAGGAGGAGGACAAGGGAGGAGGAAGAGGAGGAGGAGGAGGAGGAAGAGGGAGGGGGAGGGGGACGAGGAGCTCGCCCTCCGTGGCGAGGCCAGGGGCGGCGCCTCGAGCCGCCCTGTGCGGCGCCAGAGGCGTGTGCGCCACCACTCTGGCGAGTCGTGCCGCGGAGCTTCTGCAGCCCCTGGGGGCAGGCCTCTGGAGGGAGACTCGCAGACGCCTTGAGTCGAAGAGGAAGAGAAAGCGCCAGAACCCCAAGCTTCTGGCGCTCCGCGCGGCGCGCCGGAGGCTTCTGCTCACGCCGCGCGTGCTTCTTCCGTCGAAGCTGCGCCTTTTTTTTATGACGACGGCATCACCGGCAGGCCGTATGCCACGCTTGCCGAAGCAGGTCCCCCGGGGCGGCGGCGGGGCTGGCGACCCTGACCTTCCAGGGAGCTGTTCTTTAGCACTGGAGACCTAAAAACCTAAAAGGCGGAGCGGTACAGCCCAAAGCCAAGACGTCGAATAGCTTCGGGATAGGTTTTTTAGTCGGGTGATACTTTTTAGCCCTCCTGGAAGGTCAGGCGAGGGCTGCGCGGAGGCGGGGCGCAGCCGCGGTACGCTCTCGCGGCCGCGCTGCCCCCGGGCACCTCGATGGGCGGCGCGCGGGGCCCGGCTCCGAGCGTGGCCGGCCGGCGGGCGGCTGCCAGGGAGGGGCCTGCACGGGTGCTGCCCGCGCGGATGCTCGCGCGACGACGACAGTCTGGAGGGGGAGGGGGGAAAAAAACATATATATATATATATATATATATATGTATTAAACATAGTAATGGTAATAATAATAATAATCATAAGCAGAATCATAGTTATAATCATAAGTATTATTATAATAATAAATTTGAATTATAAATTATGAAAATAAGAATAATGACAATAGTAATAATAGTAATAATAATGATAATAATCACAATCATAATAATAATAATGATAATAGTAATGATAATACTAATAATAGCAGTAAGAAGAAGAATAATAGTAATAATAAGACTGAGAATAATCATAATAATGATACTAATGATAATGAAAACATAATGATAATAATAATAAGAGTAATAATCATAGTACTACAAATAATCATGACAATACTAATATTAATAACAAGAATAAGAACAATATTACTAACAATCATATACACACAAACAAATGTCGGCCTTCCAAGAGAAGAGGAGAAAGCATGGCGAGTTCGGGGTGAGACGGAAGTCACGAAGGTGTGGGAAAGGAGTGGGAAGCCTGAGGTTTGCGTGTATTCGTTTGTGTGTTCATGACATGGCGCACTCGGTCGAGGGCCCTCATCTGCTGCAGAGGTCCCCTCCCTGGGCACCCAGGGACAACGGCTGGGCCTGGTACCGACAGCCGAAGTCGATGCGCGCGTTGGCGGCCCAGCAGCATGCGTGGCCCCAGACAAACTTCATCCGCGAGCCAGGCGGCTTTGCGCAGCGGACTTCGACGACCTGACCAAGGCCACCAAGTACGCTCCGAATTCCTCGGGTGGCCGAGATAGTGGCCCTCCCCGCGACTGGGCAACCCATGAGGTGCGAGAGGTGTGTTCCTCCTCTTCGGCGGGATCCTCATCCAGCTCGCCGCCACGCCTTACGCCAACGGTAGATTCTCCGTCAGCGGAATCGCGTGCGTCGGGGTACTCTGGGTCGAGATCGTCTACGCCCGCGTGAGACCACGCGTCGCCGCCCCGGTCCTTATCGAGCGCGGCAAGTGCATGCGCCGCCATGGTCCTCGTCGAGCGCGGCGAGTGTGAGGCTCCCGATGGCCACGGCAACGACGGCTGTAGCGATCCCGCCGGCATGGAGAGGTCCTTCCAACTCCGCCTCCGTCACGATATGGTGCTCCTTGAGGTGGCCCAACCCTCGAGATGTCGTCGCGACATGGCCAGGCTGCAACTTCAATCGCGCTCACAGGAGAAGTTAATGTTCCTGGCCTGGTCGATAGCTCCGCGGCGATCGCCGATGGGGCGCGAGCACGTGCGCCTCGCTGCGGCGCACGTTGGCGGAGGAGGAGACTGAGAGGCAGGAGGAAGAGGAGGAGGAGGAAGAGGAGGAGGAGGAGGAGGAGGAGGAGGAGGGAGGAGGAGGAGGAGGAGGAGGAGGAGGAGGAAGGAGGAGGAGGAGGAGGAAGAGGAGAAGGAGGAGGAGGAAGAGGAGGAGGAGAGGAGGAGAGGAGGAGGAGGAGGAAGAGGAGAAGGAAGAGGATGAGGAGGAGGGCGAGGAGGAGAAGGTGGAGGATGAGGGGGGACGAGGATGAGGAGGAGGAGGATATGGAGAAGGAGGAGGAAGAGCACGAGAAGGAGGAGGAAGAGCCCGAAAAAATGTTGGCCCTCCTGCTCCCCCCCAACCTCCTCCTTTTCGCTGCCGGACATAGGAATGCACTGTCCGGGATGCTGCCTAGCAGCGAGGAGTCGGAGGGTACACGGTCCCACTGGTCGCACGTTGCCACGGATGTGTGTCCCCTCACATCTCCCCGCAGCGCGTGTCAGGATGCGTGTTTCTCCTCATCTCCTCACTTCGTCCTCCTCCTCCTCCTGACCCTCACCCTCGCACCCTTCCACCCACTCACCCACCCATCCGCCCACCCCACCCCGCTTCCAGAGTATCCTCTTCTTTTCTCTTCCTGCTCCCCGCCTAATCAGCTTTATCAAGTCCTTGTCCTGTAGCCAGTGTCCTGCGAGTCTCCCGAATTCCATCTGCAGACATAAGTAACCCTCGCTCCGTCATCGCTCCCCTTTATAAAGTGTCCTAAACTATTTGCGCCCCGCGTTTGCGCAGGGGTTGGGGGGTTGGGTACGTCGCCAGGGTAATTCCTGCTCCCCCGCCTGGACGCCACTCTGCAGTCAAGTTCAGTCCTGGGCACCTTTACCGGGCGGGCGGGGCCCGCCTGATGCCCGAGAGCCTATCTCGGGTAGCCGGGCGTGCCGCCGCCTCGCCAGAGCAAGCATCGGACGCCTCGAGGGGCGGGAGAGCCCACCGCGCCGCTGTCGCCTGACGCGCATGCTCCCTCGCCTCCTCCTCCTCCTCCTCCTCCTCCTCCTCCTCCTCCTCCTCCTCCTCCTCCTCCTCCTCCTCCTCCTCTTCCTCCTGATCTCTCTCCCCCCCCCCGTTCTCTGGCGGGCGCTGCAGGTGCACACCCCAGAGGACGACGAGCAGTTTGAGGACAAGCTGTTCGCGCAGGTGCTCGCGGGGACTGGGAGCAGGGAGGCCAGCAGGGGTGACGGAGGACGGGAACGTGGATGAGAAGGTTGGCGAGGAGAAGCGGGGCCCCAGGGGCAGGAAGAGGACGACGATGGGGACAAGGAGGATCAGAGATGCCCTGACATACACGTTGCAGCAGTGGCGCGAGCATGGCGTGGCCAGTCAAAAGGCATCATCGGGACAGCGGAAAGCTTTCCACAGCCAGAAAAACAGAGCGTCACTCCGACTGGCCTGGGCGATGCAGCTGTGACGAGCCGAGGGATGAGAGGAGATGGAGGATGAGGAGGAGCAGAAGGAGAACAGGAGTATTTAATGCCAGGATGCTTCAACGATGTTGCAAGACAACCTCCCGTCCCAAGCCCCTCCTCATGAGTCCTTACAAACTGGCCATGTCACTACGGGAAGCGACCCCTGAAAAGACGAGCGCGCCATGGGCTTAGTAGTATTCAGGCGAGAACCCCTTTTGAAAGGGTGCTGCCTTCTACACTTCTAGCTAGGACAAGTGCGAAGTGGCAGGATCGTAAGTTCAAGGAGGTGCCCGAGGAGAGCCCCATCGCCCGCGATCGTGGAACCGTTGCGCAACATTCCACCTCTGGCAGCAGAAAGACCTCGAGCGAGAGCCACGGTTTGAAGGGGAGCGCCCTCCATCTGCGCGAACGGACGGAACAAAAATGACAAACCTCTCCGGCCATGCACTATGATTATGTCGGGCCTGTCCTTCTACAGGAGGATCTTCAAAAATAGTCAAGAAAGCATAGTCTGGGGACGATTTGTTTACTATTCTTGAGCATTTGGGGAATACTTGCTGAGTATTTGTATTTTTTAGCCCAAAATCCCCTTGTATGGGGGACACGCCCGACCTAACACGATGAACAGGCCTCAAGCTAGGAGCCCCAATTCAAGAAGGAGGCGCCCTCCGCCCGTGCCTGCTGCTGGAAGCGCGCCTGGCACTGGTGCGCGACGCCAAGGCGGGAGCACGCCTTGAAAACGGTTCGCCTCCGCCCGTGCGATGTTCCGCACACGTTGTTCACTTTTAATTGTTCGAAAGTTCTTTGATTTTTTGGGAGGGGCAAGATCCTTTCATTTCTAAGTATTCTATCCTGGGCCTCTTCCTGGCCACTGGGGGGCCAGGAGCAATTAGAAACGAGCACGATTAGAAATGAGCACGATTAGAAATGACGTGTATGTCGACGCGGGAGATCAGATCGGTCGACTGAAATCACGAAGCGGATGCCGAGGGCGGCGCTTGGGGGGAGCGCGAAGATGTCGGCCAGCCCTGAGGCCCTGGAAGGGGTCCAAGAGCGTCGTGGTCGCCGCCCTCGCGCGTGCGAGCAGCGCCGGCGTCGAGAGTTTGGGCCCCCGCGCGCATGCGAGACATGTGCGCGGCGCCCAGGCGAGAGCCGCAATTTGAGAGCGTGCATGTGGATCTTGGAATGAACGTTTTCTGATGCTGCTGGCAGGGCGCAGGCACACACACACACACACACACCTCCCCCCCTCCAAAAGAAAACGGGCACGCCTGGCCGTGTGAGGGTCTCCCAGGAGCGCTACTGGAGGCCGCGGCAGGCGTTGGAGTGGACCCAACGCCACCGCCCCCCCTGAACAGCCTGCTTCTCGAGCGTCTCATCGGTCATTTTACGTTCGTAGCTCTCATCAGGAGGGAGCTGCTCAGCACCTCGTGTGCAGGCTACGACTTTGCGAGGGGTGATTTTCACAAGCCTAGGAGTCTCTGGAAAAGCGTCCTCTCGGAGCTCCGCTCTATTCAGGGCCTCTTGGTTGTTGCCTCTCGTTACCTCGACCCCAGGCGGTCGGGTGACTCTAACTTATGACGCGCATGAGCCTGGGCATGCCACAGTTAAGGGGTCTTGGACAGTGGCGTCTGCGCAGAAAGCATGGAAGTGTGGCCAGAAAGATGGAGATGCAAAAACTATAAAAACCTTGCGGGGCTCAATCCACGTGAGCAACATGCTTTGGTAGAAACAAATATTGAGAAGGAAGTCAATTACGCCAACGTCTACTTCAATCGAGAGTTCTCTGAGGTGCCCGCTAAGCTGGTCCATGATACGTCGTGGTCGGTGGAGCGGCATCAGCCCGTGATTACCCGTGAACCTGCACATGTCACTGAAATGCGTGGGCTCGTGGGCTCTCATACGCCAGGCCGTTAAGGATGCTTCCGATTGGGCCAAAGGTTGGTTGATATTGGGGGGACACTTTGGGATTCAATTGATATCGTTATCAAAGGGGCGCTGTCGCGACCTTCGTCTGCGAATGTTGCATGGGAAGGCAGCCGCGTGGACTCCAGCTACCAGGCCAGGATTACCATGCCAGCGGTTGCCGTCAGAGCTCAATCTTGTCCACGAACCCTCCCCCTCAGTGAGAGCCACCGGAGGGCCGTCTCAGATGCGAAGCCGCCTCCGCGGCCGAGCCGTCGTCGAGCCGCGCCCAGGCCGACGGACGCGTCTTCCCGGCCGTCAGCTCCTTCGAAGTCCAGCGGACTACCTGCGGCCAAACGGCAGAAGACGAGGCCCAACGTAGAGCGCTCGAGTCAGACAAACCGTTGCTTTGTCAGGTTATCGTCTCCTCGGCCTGCCGGAGGCGAAGAGCGCCGACCTCGGGAAGGAGCTGAGTTTACAGGCTCGTCCGGCTGCCCAGAGATAGGCTGCCCGAGGCGACGGTGGAACCAGGTATCACCGAGGAGGCTTCCCTTACACTGAAGACGAGGGGGCAGCACAGGAGATTGCTCAAGGACTCCCGGAGCGGCAGAAATTGAAGGACCTCAGCACACACCTAGCGAGGCTGGACTCGCGGAGCGTCACGCACTTCGACCGCCTCGTTTTGGAGGGCAACGCTCCGCCGACAGGCGAGAAGCCGGCGGCGGCCACCCAGCACGCGGCGCCGAGCTGCAACGCCAAGGGCTTGATGGCGCCCCCGCGGGCGCCCAGGGCGCTGAGGGGCTGGAGGCGCCTCGCGCCTCGCCGCAGCCGGCGCCCGCTGCCTGGACACCCACGTGCGGCCTACAGTGAGCGGCTTGAATAAGGAACACTCACTTTTCAAAAGGGGCTCGGTCGTCCCTTAGATTTTACATGCGTTATTTACAGTTCCTTATGCGTTATTTATTATTCATCGTTCCTTATGCGTTATTCCTTGGGATAAAACGGGGCTTCGTTCCTTATTTATCGTTCCTTAGGTCAGGCCGATGACTGTAGCGAATGTCTGGACCTCCGCACCAGGCAGGTGCTGCGAGCCACTTGCGCAGCAGCACTTGACGCGCGCCGCGATGCCGTTGCACCCCGTCGAGGATGGGGTCATCAGCAAAGTGGACGCGGTTGACGAGAGCCTGATCGTCAACCGAGTTTGGCTGCCCAGCGCCATCAACACGCACGCCCCGAGCCGGCCACGCGAGGGTCCTCTCTGGGGCGTCAAGCTGAAGGACCTACATGCCAGCTTTCTGACCGCCTCCATCACGGCGGGCATCTCCAACCTCAAGCCAGTCCTCTACATGGGGCCCCATTCGGGCGCCAGCTTGGACAGGCTTACCAACCGGCCCGACCTCACCGAGGTTTAGCGTCGGGCAGGTGGAGATCGGCCGCCCCTGCGAGGAGATACAACAAGCGGGCCCTGGTTCAGGACGTGCACAGCAACCTCGACAGCCGGCCCCAGGCATTCTGCAACAGGAGCGCCAGCGAGCTCGATGCCTCCGTGGTTCGCGCATGCCTCAGCGTGCGCGCCGCCCGCGAGGTTCCGCGCGCAGACGCTTCTCTATGATCGAGTTCTTTTGGCGGATGTGCAGTTTGTTCTAGAGCAGTTCGTCATCACAAAGTGGACAAGTTTCTTTTGACATACTACCGGGGCTGCAGGGGAACGTGCTACGGCGACCCGTTAAGCGTCGCCTCCGTCGTCTCGTCGTTCATCCCCGTTGTCTTGGTATTCTGCTCGCTCCGCCCTGCACTACAAATAGCAGTACACGTCGGCCGATGATACGCACCCGAATTAATGGAAGGCCTTCCAGGGCTCCCAGAGGCCTTCTGAGCACAGGTCGACAACGGCACGACTTTGATGCGACCCACTGGCGACCGATGCTTGAGGTCAATCCAATTCAAAGTACTGTGCGTCATCGAGAACCCCCAGTCGAGTTCAATTTGGCACGCCGAGGAGATCCAGAAGGTGACAGTTCCCCCCAGCCTCCATCACTACTCACATGTGTGGTTTGGGGGCCCGTTGAAAGAAGCCCACCACGCCGTCGATTTTGGGGCTTGAATATTTGCAGCGTGTGAAATCCAGATGTCGAAGCTTCAGGTGTACACCATGCGAGAATTCGGGCACGCCTCATCTTACATCGTATAGACCTGACCCCACAGGGGTGCGCTGGACCAAACGAGCCGCCGCTTATCCTGACAAGTTCGCGTCGACCCTGACAGGCCTATTTGTGGATGCTGGATTTACTCTTGCGCTGAGAGACGCCAGCTCCTCGTACATCCCGGTGGCGCCTTGGGTGAGATCAAAATTGAAGCGGAATTGCACTTGAACCGCCAACGTGTTTTGCACGATTCGGTGGTTAATTATTCAGCAGGCTTCGCGTCGGCACGGCCTTGTGTTCGCTGCGCCACGCGTCACCATCGCTGCGTCGGATTCGGATTTGTTTAACAGATCCTGCCACAAGAGACTGGAACGCCATGGTTGATGGGCTTGCTTTGCATGGATTCAAGAAGTGATTGCTATGTTCGCAACGCAGCCTTTTCTCTCACCGCCAAGGGACCCCGCCACCGCCCATTATATAAGGTAAGGCTTAAAGTGTCTTGCTGACCTCTTCCTGGCACCACACAGAGGGGGGTATTCCGCAGGTTTCGCCTCGGCACGGCCCTGCGTTCGCTGCACCTCGCCTCACCTTCGCTGCTTCGGACCTTCAACAGATCCTGTCACAAGAAAGTGGAACTTAATGATTGATCCTCATCCTCCTCCTCCTCCCTCGCCCCCCGTCCCCCTCCCCCTTCCTCCTCATCCTCCTCCAATCATGCTCCTCCTCCTCCTCATCATCATCATCATAATCATCATGCTCCTCCTCCTCCTCCTTCCTCCTCCTCCTCCTCGTCCTCCTCCTCCTCCTCCTCCTCCTCCTCTCTCCTCCCCCTCCCTCCTCCTCCTCCTCCTCCTCCTCCTCCTCCTCCTCCTCCTCCTCCTCCTCCTCCTCCCCCCCCTCTCGTCCACATTATCACCCTGTTCATCCGCACCACCATCATCATCGTCATCATCATCAGCAGCAGCAGCATCATAATTATCATCATCAGTAGCAGCAGCAGCAGCAGCAGCAGCGTCATCCTCATCATCATCGTCATCATCGTCATCATCATCAGCGGCAGCAACAGCATCGTCACCATCAGCATCAGCATCTTCATCATCATTTCCGCCACCACCATGGTCAGCAGCAGCATCATCAGCATCATCATCATCAGCGGCAACATCAGCATCACCATCATTATCAGCACCACCATAATCATCATCCTGCACATTCAACATCATCAACAGCATCAATAACATCATACTCATCGGTATCATCGTCACCATTGCCATCACCATGCATCATCAACATAGCCATCACCGTCACCGTCATCATCATCATCCTCATCAGCATCATCAGCATCATCATCCTCAACATCATCATCAGCTGCAGCAGCAGCACCACCATCAGCATCCCCTCGCGACGGGCCTGGCAAACGCACGGCCCCCCGCCAGGCGCTCGGCGCCTGCGACCTGCCCACGCCCGTGGACGGCGGCGGCCCCGAGGGCTGGGCCGCGGACTGGGGCGGCGCGGCGCCCGAGGCGGGGCCGCCGGGCCTCCTCCTCATCCGCATCCTCATCCTTGTCCTTGCCCCCCTCTTCCTCCTCCTCCTCCTCCTCCTCCTCCTCCTCCTCCTCCTCCTCCTCCTCCTCCTCCTCCTCCTCCTCCTCCTCCTCCTCCTCCTCCTCCTCCTCCTCCTCCCTTCGGCTCATCCTCCGCCCCTCCTTTCTCTGCTTCTCTTCTCCTCCATCCCCGCCCCTTTCTCCATCGCGCGCAGGGAGGTGTGGTGTAGGGGGTGGGGATCGAGTGCTTGTCTCCGGGAGGGGAAAGCGAGGAGGAGGCGAGGGATGAGCGAAGCGCAGAGAGAGGGGGAGGATGAGGGTAAGAAGGAGAAGAAGGAGGCGAGCATGGGAAAAGAAGAGTAGAAGGAGCAGGAGCAGCAGACAAGAAGACGTGCAGGAAAAGCATGTCCATCTCCACCTCTACCTCATTGTCCTGCTCCCCGTCGTCGCCGCTCTCATTATCAGTATTGTTGATGTTATGTCTTAGTATTGTCCTTGTGCCGGCGGTATGATGAAAGCAACGCACGTCAAGTGGCAACAGTGCGTTTGTATAAAACGTCACAAGGTTTGGCCATTAGGTCCGGCAGCTCGAATATTTGTCCTTGGGTGTTTCAGCCCAGGCTCATGCCCGAGCCGCCGATCTCGAGGATCCAATGCGTCCAATGCGTCGGCTTCTCCTTGCGTCATGGGAAGGTCCTTGGCAAGACACCAGTCTCTGCATCAGGTCAGTCCTCCTCCTCCTCCTCTTCCTTCTCCTCCTCCTCCTCCTCCTCGTCCTCCCCTTCCTCACATCATCTCCATTATCCGTAAGGGCTTCGCTCCCTGCGGCCGCCCCCCTCTCGATCAGAATGGGAAATATCAGAGTCGCGTACGTGCGTCTCGGCGCTGCCTTGGCGCATCTGGGAACATCATGCGGGGGCGGATAGGAATCATCAGCGCATATTGAGGCGTTGGCATTATCGAAGACGCCTACGGCGAATCACCGCCGCCGCCCAGGAAGCTCTGCAAAGCCCTCCCAAGAGACCTCCCAAGACGGTTCCCAAGAATCCTCATCCTCATCCTCATCGTCATCCTCGTCCTAATCATCATCTTCCCTCTCCTGATCCTCCTCCTATTGCTCCCCCTCGCACTCCCCGAAGACTTTCCAAACCGACTCGGGGAATAACTGGCCCGATAGAATGGCCGAACTCTAGCCCAGCTGTCGGGGGCTTCTTGGGGGCCTTTGGGGGCTTCTTGGGGGCCTCTTTGGCCGTCTTAGGGCATTCCCGACCCGTCTGACATTGTCGGGAGCCGTCTTGGGGGCCTCTCTGAACCGACTTGGGGCTCCCTTGGGGCGCTTCAAGGCCGTCTTGGAGAATATCTTAGACGTCTTGGAGGTCGCCGTCTTGGGGGCCTCTTGGGCCGTCATGCGGCCATCTTTGAGGCCTGTTGGGCGATCTTGGAGCGATTTTGGGGGCCTCTTGGGCTGTTCTGATCCGTCGGAATGCAGAGAAAGAGCAAATGCCAAAATTCTTCAAAGACCTAAGGAAAATCAATGATGTCGATCCCTTCGGGTCCTCCTGGAGGACATCTTGGAGGCCTCTTGGGCCGTCTTGGAGGCCGCTTGAAGGCCTTTTGGGCCATCTTAAGGCCATCTTAGGCCGTCTTGGGTGCATCTTGGGCCGTCTTGGAGGCATCTTGGGGCCATCTTAGCAGTCTTGGAGGCCATCTTGGCCGTCTCGAAGCCCTCTTGGGGCCCTCTTGGGGCCGTCTTGGAGGCCTCTTGGGCCGTCATGGGGCCATCTTGGAGGCCTCGTGGGTGATCTTGGAGCGATTTGGGGGGCCTCTTGGGCCGTCTTGAGCCATCGGAATGCCGAGAAGAAGCAAATGCCAAAATCTTTCAAAAAACCTAAGGAACATCAATGAATGTGGCCTTGGCCTCTTCGGGCTCTCCTGGAGGACCTCTTGGAGGCCTCTTGGGCCGTCTTGGAGGCTTCTTGGGCGTGCTTGGAGGTATCTTGGACTCTTGGGCAGTCTTCGAGGGGATCATCTTGGACGAACTTGGAGGCCATCTTGGGCCATCTTGACCATCTTGGAGGCCACCTTGGAGCCGTCAGGAGCCGAAAAACCTTTTGCAACCACCTGTTACGGATCTCCAGCGGGACGGGCCGAAACCCCAAGGGGGATTTCTTTTGGAAAAGAACCACAACCAAAAGCGAAAGGGTCAAGCGCGCCGGGCACCCCAGTGATGAATCAACAGGGGGCGGCGGATCAAAGACGCCTACGGCGAATCACCGCCGCCCCCTGCCTTCTAGAATCGCCCATGTGGCCGAGCGTTGTGGCAAGAGCTCTTCCAAGCTATCGGACCATGTGTTCCCCCAGCCATTGTGGAAACCCTTCGGGGAACACGTGGGGGAGGATGGCAGGGAAGATCAGGAGGAGGCGGAGGAGGAGGTGGAGGAGGCGGAGTTGGAGGAGAAGGAGGAGGAGGAGGAGAAGGAGGAGGAGGAGGAGGGGGCATCTTGCGAGTTTCTGGGGACACTCTTGGAGCCCCCTGGGAGCTTCCTGGAAGCCTCTTGGAGACATCTTGGGGGCACTCTTGGAAGCCTCTTGGGGATCGGGGGCTTCTCGGGGGCCTCTTTGGCCATCTTGGTGGGCTCCTAACCCGTCTGACGCCGTCGGAAGCCGTCTTGGGGGCCACTCTGAGCCGACTTGGGCCGTCTTGGAGGCCATCTTGGGCGTCTTAGAGGCCTCTTGGGCCGTCTTGAGGCCGTCTTGGCCCGTCCTGGAGGCCTCTTGGGCTGCTCTGGGGCCATCCTGGAGGCCTCTTGGGCGATCTTGGGGCGATATTTAGGGGCTCTTGGGCCGTCTCGGGCCGTCGGAATGCCGAAAAGAAGCACATGCCGTAATCCTTCAAAAACCTAAGGAAAATACATGATTGTGGCCTCTTCGGGCTTTCCTGGGGGCTCTCTTGGAGGCCTCTTAGGCCATCTTAGAGCCATCTTGGGCCGTCTTGGTGGGCTCTTGGCCCGTCTGACGCCGTCGGGAGCCGTCTTGGGGGCCTCTCTGAACCGGCTTGGAGCCCTCTTGGAGCGTTTCGGGGCCGTCTTGGAGGCCATCTTGGGCGTCTTGGAGGCCCGTCTTAGGGGCCCTAGTGGGGCCGTCTTGGAGGCCTCTTGAGCCGTCATAGGGCCATCTTGGAGGCCTCGTGGGCGATCTTGGGGGCCTCTTGGGCCGACTTGTGCCGTCGGAATGCCAAGAAGAAACAAATGCCAAAATTCTTCAAAAACCCAAGCAAAATCAATGAATGTGGCCTCTCTGGGTCCTCCTGGAGGACCTTTTGGAGGCCTCTTGGGTCGTGTTGGGCCGTCTTGGAGGCTTCTTGGGCGAATTTGGAGGTATCTCGGACTCTTCTTGGGCGTCTTGGAGGCCATCTTGGGCCAACGTGGCCATCTTGGAAGCCATCTTGAGCCTTCTTTGAGGAAAAATTGGGGATTGAGCTCCCTTCCGGGGCCCCGGCGGGACGGATCGAAGCCCCAGGCACCCCTGTGATGAATCAACAGGGGGCGGCGGATCCGAGTGACCTTCGGCCCATCCCGCCACCGTGCCTGGGTTGTGGGTCTGAGGCCTCTTGTATATGTGTTGGGATGTCGTCTACCCCCCGGACGTCGACCTGGCTACGTCCTTCCGCACGCAGCACTCGAGGATGGTGATCTTGACGCGCCGTCGACGGCAACACCACTTCGCTCTCCCTCCGGTACTTCGCCTCCGGCTCCTGTCCAAGGCGTAACTTTTCCTGTGCAAGCTCTTCGGCACCGCCTGTACCCCGCGCCCTCCAGCCGCCTGAGGCCCCGCTCGCCCGCGCCCTGTCTCCCCAATTAGTGCTTTGCGCGCCCCGCCTAGCTCTTAACCGGAAGAGGCCCGCTCTCGACCCGCAGAAGAAAAAATGCGTTGGGATGTCGTGCGGAGCCTCTTGGAGGCGGCTTGGGCGCCTCTTGGGGGCCTCTTGGGCCTCGTGGGGTATCTTTTGGCCCTCTTGGGCGCCTCTTGGACGCCTCTTGGGGCCTCTTGGCGGCCTCTTGGGGCCTCCTGGAGGCTTCTCGGGGCACGAATATCGAATGTTCAGTTCGTGGTCCCCTGCTTCGGCCCCTCTAGGGGCTGTCTTGGGGCCCTCGTGGGCCGTCTTGAGCGCTTCTTAGGCCTCTTGGACCATCTTGGAGCCCTCTTGGGCCGTCTTGGGGCCCTTTTTGGACGCGGTCTTGGGAGAATGACTTGTCTTGGAGCGTCGGAAAGCTGAAAATGCGAGAAGGCCAAAATCATCCAAAATTTTCTGTACAATCTACGATTTGGGCCTCTTGGGGCTGTTTCGGGAGGCCTCTTGGGACGCTCCTTGGGCCTGTTTGAGCCTTCTTGGGCCGTCCGGGGACCATCTTCGGGCGCCTTGGAGCATTCTTGGCTTCGGCAATGCGAATATGGCGTAATTTGCTAAGGTTTATTCCTTCGGGGGCGCGACCATTGTGTACTTTACCTAGTTCTGCTGCCTTGGGAACGCAACAATTGTTTGATCTACAATGATGCGTGGTTTCGGGGACGCGAGCATTGCGTAATTTACGAATGATTATGGCCTCGGGGGCGCGGGTAACATGTATTTTTACGTTTCCCACGCCACCCTTGGAATTCAGAGCACGCGATCCGAGGGTGGTAACCGGGCGGTTTGGGGCTCCCTCCCCCTCGCGCGGGTTTAAGCAATTTACATTAGGAAGCAGAAAGCAGGATTGTAACATTGGAAACTTGCAGTTGCAACTGGTGCAGGGAGTAACACACTTCGGCCTACAGCCTGGTGCCCCCACAAGGGGGCCGGCGGATCCTCCCTCCTCATCCCCAACGCCCTTCCCTCTGTTCCTTCCGAGAGACCTCGCGATCACCGTCGGCCCCAGGCCCCACCGGTGAAGGAGAATGGAAGGGGCAACGGAAGAGGGAGTCTTGAAGGGAAAAGGGGA